TTGTGCAATCGTCAAATTTTTTGGGATCCATCGACAACACACCTTTTTCACGGCAAGATGTTCATGCAATATCTTATGTACGCTGGTGGAACTAATGCCCAAGGATGCCTCAATTTCACAGTATGTCACATGCCGGTCCATCATTGTCATTTCGCGCACAGCATCGATGGTTTCCGGCAAAACGACCGAAATTGGCCGACCTTCACGAAATTCATCCTAGAGAGAACGGCGTCCGAAACCAAACTCTTGGTACCAGCGATTTACAGTGGTTTTTGATGGTGCTTCATCACCAAAAGTCGAAACAAGTTGATCGAGACACTCTTGTCTCGATAATCCGCGCCGAAAATCGTAAAAAATCATCGCACGAAAATTTTCACGGGACAATTAAATTTTTTGACCGAGATGAATTTTTCAAGTCACTGTAAACAAAACAATTCACGTTCTTCACGTTCTGAGTGAAGTTGTCCTAAAAAATGTCAAACTTTCCAATGGAAGTGTCAGATCACTGGCAGCACTAGTATTGCCAGGACCCGAAATATAAATAGTGACCCTCGTATAACAGTAATTTCGAAAATGAAAATATACTATATGTTCAAATTCGAAAATAATAGAATGTTCAAATTTTCTCCGTTCAGAAACGGAGAGAGGAAATTCAAATCTATGTTTGCTAATATGCTTTAGACAACCGTTATACGAGTATAAACCGTTAAAATTGAGTAATAATGGTCCAAAATGTTGACATGACTATATTTATAAAAAAATATTCTAGCTAAAGTTCGAACTAGATTGACGTTTCATAATTCCAACAAAACTGTTCTAGTTTATTAATAAGCTACATAGTTTAATAACAACATATCGATCACTACTCAGAGATCTCAAAGGTGGGGTGTCACTTAATTCAATACTTAATAATTTATTGTTATGGGCAGTACAGTATTTATACGGTTAAATTTATCTAACTCATTTTCGAAGTCAACTCTCTACCTACACTCATTTTAATTCAAATGAATTTTCGAATAGATTTTAACTATCGGTCATAAAATTTAATGTGCATTCCGAGTAATTTTTCATGATTTTCTTTAAAAGAATAAAATATATCCGATGAAAACGTTTATCGAAATTTTGAAGATATATTTTGTGTAACAAATATATTTAAGAATATTGTAATACCGCTCTTGTTTTTGTAATGAAAGCTAAAAGAAATAAAAAAATTTTCAAGAAAATTTATGTTGGTTATACAAATATATTGGTTTATAATCCTTGTGGGAAATCATTTACAAAAATGTTACTGTTACTATTTCCGTAAATATTTAAATTGTTGCATTATTGGTTTTTAAATAATTTACAAGGGTTATTTTTTTTATGATTTTTCAGGGAAAATGAAAAGAAGAGAAACTGAATAACAATTCAAATAAATTATGATAAAATACTTGGGGAAATAATAAAAAATAAAGTTGAGAAAAATAGGTTGCTTGAGTTGAATAAAATATTTTTTTTTCAATAAATTGTTATATAAAATATATATATATATATATATATATATATATATATATATATATATATATATAATTATATATATATATTATATATATATATATTATGTATATATATATATATATATATATTATATATATATATATTATATATATATATATATATATATATATATATATATATATAAGGAAATATTAATTAGAATTAATGAATTCTATTTTTAATTTTTACAATATTTTTTACTAGAATGAAGGACAGAATTATAAGACTTGAATAAGTTTTATGGAGCATGACATTTTATATGACTCATAGTGGACAGTAGAAAGAGACAGTAGTAATTGAAAATAAATTTATTTTAAAAATTTAAATTTTGCGAGCTCAATATTTTAGAGAGCTCAATATAAAATTTCGAAAATTTCAAAAGATATTTCAAATATAATGAGAAGATGCTGCTAATGAGCTGATTTACACGTTTATTCATTGAGCGTATGCAAAACATTTACCTTGTGCTTCTCAAACACAAACAAATTTTATTTTTATAGTAGAGAGGATATGAGAAGCATAAAATATAAGGCTCAATATATACTTGTACAAACACACCCAGTAAATTTACCAAATTCTCTTAAATAATTACGAGTATAAATGTTTAGCAAGTGCATGTGGTTGTGGTAGGATTAATTTGACAAATTGATTTTTTAGTTTTTCTTTTTTTTTTCTCACAGAGTTCGTTGGGTGTAAAGATTATTCATTTTTACATGTTGAGTTGTTTGTTCTGTGTATTTATATACTGTACACTGTAAAAAATTTGCTATAAAATTACTGATAAAAGCATGCTGAGAGCAAAATATTACACAACCGTATAATAAATTTATATTATAGTCAAATAACAAAAATCATATTTGCCAACGTATCTGTTCTACTCTCTCATGATTTAATATTTGATATGGTAGTAGTATTAATTTTTTTTTATTAAAATCAGAGGGTATCTGTAATTTTCCTTGATTATACCGACTAGTATTTGTAGTTGTAGTAATTTTAGAACTACTTTTAGCACAGTGTAGCATGTCCTTATTTTAAATTTATTCCAAAAATTTTAATCTTATTATAAATTAGCAAATTCAGCCGTATAAATTAGCAAATAAAGCGTATAAAAAAAAATTTTTAATTCTCCCTTAAACAGTTTATGATGAGAACATGAAAAAAAAGTTACTAGTGAACAGGAACGGTCTTGCGATCTCATATTATATTAAAATAAATTTAAAATCTTTAAGGCTTTATAGCTATAAGTAAAAGAAGGTACGTGTTTTCATATCGAGGAACTCCAAAAATTTTGGTTCTTAACAAACATTTTTTTTTTTGAAAATTCTAGTCTCAATGAAAAAGGAAAATTTAATTTTCTATTATATATTTCAATATATTTTATATAGATATTATAAATCCATTTAGAAAGGATTTATAATCATAGCATTTATACGTATAACTAATATTTTATATATTGACATAATGTTATATTAACATAATTCTTTGGAAACTTTTATATGGATCTCATACCCTCTAAAAAAATATTTCAATATTATAGTTTAATAACACGCACTCATATACACAACCTACATTATTAAACTGAATAAATTTATACACTGACAAAATTATATAGTAGATTTTTGTATATAGAGTGTTGTTATACTTAATATTATTCATTATAAATAAACCATCTTGTTGTTGAAGGTTAAGTTGACCGACCTCCCGTGACTTGATTTTAAATAATTTGTTATGAAATTTTTTTTTTAAAAACTTTTTCTTTACATTTTATTTCGAATGGAGGAGTTTTCGTTCTTTTGTTATATACTTTAAATATTAATATAAAATTATTTTATAATATTTTCTCGGGCGAGGTAACTTGTGAGGCAACCTTGCTTATTAATCGGTCGGGTCACACGTCATCGTGCAAGGTTGGGTCAAAGACCTGTGTGGGGACGAGGGAGTTTGTACCAAGAACTAAATTTTTCAAACACATGGGGATGTACCCCAGTGTCTTTCAGCCTTGAAATATGGTATAAGAAATCGGAGGTCTTGATCATGTCAAACAGTCGGGTTGATATCAAAGTGCTCACTTTATTTGCAGTATTCTTCCAGGCAGTATGGAGCTGTCTTGAGAGACTCAACAAATTGGGTAGATGCAACGACAGTGCGGTATGTACCGAAACAGTTGGCACGGAAAGAAATGGTACGGCCGACAAATTAGCGAGAAGAAGGCTACCCCACTTCTTAGATCAGAGCCCTTTTGCGAAATCGGACCACATGCTGTTAAGAAAGAGGGGGAGGGAGGAGGTGGTCTCAGTATACTTTCTGATAGATTTTTATGTTCTCACCCGCAGGAGTGGGAGTTTTGTAAACTAAGTGTATTGTGTACATTTAAATGGAACGCAACAAACAAAAAAATTTTTTTTTTTTTTTTCAAATTTTTCATAAACTGTTTTTGAATGTCACAAAGGTTAATATTGCAAAGGATTTTTAAGGCCATATTATAATATACGAGAATCAGATAGATTGTTAAAAAAAAACGAAAATAAAATTTTAGTAAAACACAACAAAATTAATTGAAAGGGTGAAAGGGACACTAAGAAAACAAACTCTGAACTTTTCATTCAGTTTTATGGAAGAAATGAAAATTATTTGATAGGCGAGATGATGTGGTTTTAGGTTGTAGTCAAATTAACGCAATTTGTTGATTTTATATGGAGCTATATAGATGTACCTTTTAATTTCCGTTCATAGCAATTTATAAATATAGTCTTTAATAAATTTATGTTATTTGATTATCGTTTTCTATATAGTCCTTTTTTGCTTTTCCTCTTTATAATATAGCAAAAATTGAAAGGACATTAAATTTAATAGTTCGCTATTAGGATATAATTAAGAAACAACAAAGAACATTTTAATTTTAAGAATTTTTATAGTAAAAATGTTTTGTCATAAATTTGTTAAATTAATATTAATAAAAGTTTTTGTGCGTTATTTTGTTTCTTAAATAAAGAGGAAGAAATAAATAAAATTTAATAGGATATCGCATATTTTCATAAATAATATGAAATTATTGGAGAATTTTCAATAAAATTGTTGCAAATTAGGACCAAAATGTCTACAAATAAATTAGTTGATAGTACCTATATAGGTTTTTAGCTTCTTATTGAGTAAATTTTAAAGAAAAAAAGTAAATTGGATAAAAAACATAATTATGTAGGTATAGTAATTTTATAATTAATATCTAGACCGTTCTAAATCACACTTGAAATGAAATTCTATTTTTGGAAATCGTAACCATATTTACAATTAAGCAGAATTGTTTTAATAAATAATTTCGAATTTGAATTTATGGTAATAATATAATTGAGCAATTTGAAATTATTTTACATATTATCAATTCAAATTCAGCATAATTTTTTTAATTCTTTTTTTTAAAATTCGAGAATTCGAAATAATTAAATTAATTAATTTTGTAAGCTTACCGATATGAAGACCTCTTCAGCTTGTTGTAATATGGCAACACGTGACCAACCAAATTTTTTCATTAATTTTATTCTAGTTGGATTATGTACGGTGGCTGATGGGTGGGTACGAAATAATGTAGGAAATCTGCTACGATCTGATAGTGCTGGACTCGATGCACCATAACAAAGCTAAAAATAAAATAAATTAATAAGTATATAATAATATATAATATGCTTTTATTAAATCATAAAATTAGAAATATACTTGCGGAAACCCGTATATAATATAGGGTAGTACTTACATAACGTACATACATATGTATATAAAAAAAATACCTAACCTATTGCAAGAACCTTACATACATGCCAACATAGATCTAATAAATCAAAATTTTGTATAGTTTAATGTTATTTCGTTAATCGTTCCTATATATCGTCAAATTAACAGAAAAACCTTTAATAACTTGGAGTATCCATGTAAAATTTCACATTAACGGAATATTAGAGATATTTTGGGTTCAGTTTAAGTACTTGGAAACAATACTGAATTCAGTTTATATTCGTGTTCGGTTAATTCAAGTAACTTGGTGTAGTCGCATTTTATAGCAATTCCTAACCAGCTTCGATTTTTCTTGTATTTGGTTGCCTTCTCCATGTTTTTAGCGATTCCGAATTATGAATACCCACACTTGCTAAAAATATTTGAACTTGTTTTGCTCAATTTGTTTAACTCTGATCTCAAAATCAAAAAATAATCTATTCATTAACTCAAAAAATGAATACTCTACATATATTAATTTTTTTTTTCTAATTACAAATAAATTTAAGTTTCTCGAAATTTTTAATAAAAAATTTTGTTTTTAAAATCTTACTTTGATCAAAATTTAATTTCTAAAATAAATCATCCATATTTCATAAAATAATAAAATTATAATTCTTCGGTTATAACTCATAATAATTTTTGTCAGCTTCTTTAACGCAACCTAACTTTTTTTTGTATAACTAAGTAAGAGTTAATTAGGGAAGTTCCGATATTGAATACCTTTCTGCATTTAGTATTCCTCATTAAATCAAATTGTATGTAAGTACTTGATAAAATATTTTATCAATTTACTTACCACGATTAAATTCCACATTTTTGCAGCTTCGGCAACTGTTGTACAAACCGTACTACAGCCAGCTAATAACATTAATTTTTGTGGACTATTATATAAAAGATTGTACATCACACTAGCTCCCAATCCTGGTTCACACTGCAAAGAAAAAATTAAAGAAATATATTTTAGCTTTACTGAATATATTTAATTTTATGTATGCATGTGGGTATATTAAAGCCTATGGTGTATTCAATAAAATAATAAAATCTTTTATTAAATTTCTTTTAAAATGATCTTAAATTTTCTAATTTTTATCAAAAAAATATACAGAACGCTAAGTGTATTGGAAACCAAACAAAAAAGTAAATTCTATTAGAAAATTATATAATGGATTCCCAAGATATAAAATGTTTATTGTACGGATGAAAAAAACAAAATTTTCTATTATTTTAATCATTGTTTGTTGAAGAAGAACTTTGAATGTACAATAATCTACTCATTATATGTGGCCATTATGGTTATTTAACAAAGCAGGACAGTATTAAAAGGCTGCTTTTTAGCTAACAATTTGTGTTTGGAATGGCAACGTTCCCGATTTTAGTGCGACAACTCGGGCTTTCAGTAGCGCACAGATTTTCTTTGCCTTATGAGTGAATGCAGTGCAGGTTCTTGATAATCAGGTCTTTTGTTGAAATTTCTTTATTGTAATAGTTGCAATTTAAGGAATATAGAAGAACACTTGTAATTAGAAAATATTGCGGAGACTACAACACTATTAATTTCAACATAATTTCGGTACAAACTTTCTTAAAAATCTTCATTAATTTTTTTTTTTTTTTTTTTTTTTTTTTTTTTTTTTTTTTAAATCGAAGTTCTGATCGCACAATGAGTGGGCACTCATGCAATGGTAATCTCTCAGAGAGTAACATTAAAAAGGTGAGAGTAACATGAGCGCTGCAGTTTTTGTATTAATTTTTCTCTTAATTTTCTCAAAATTGAGTAGGCAGTTCATTATTATTTTTCCATTAAACTGTACACATTGATTTCTCGGCATATTTAGTTTGTTTCTTTTTTGCTTTTCTTAGAAATTAAGAATTTTTTTCAAATTTTTTTTTTTTTTGGGAAAAGAAGGAAATTTTCATTAACGAAAATTTTATGGACCTTCTCTTCTTTAATGTGCCATTTCCTTGATTTCCTTTCTTTTTAATAATTTTGTTCTATTCTATTCTCAATTCAATTAAGAATTTTTCTTTTAATGTTTCACATTTTATTGTTCCTGTTCTTCCTTTTATTATTACGAAAGAAGTCGAAATATTTATAAAAAAAAAATAGAACAGTAGAATTTCATCAGAAATCGGACAATGGTTATATTCCTTATTAATATTATTGTTGTCAGATGTATAGAAGAAAATTTTAAAGGATATTAAATAATATTTTAAAGTTGTATAAATATTTACATTAAGACTATATCTCTTGAGCTATATAAGGCAATTCAACGTAAATGTTAAAAAAACAAATACTAGAAAGATCCATAAGAGTAAACGAAATTCGGGTCAATTACGCTATTCTTGTTGAAATTAAGTCTCTTAAATGCAAGAAGAGAACTCTTTATCGTGCCGCCAGAAAGCATCATGATAGTGTCACATTTTTTAAGTTTACTTTCTGGCAAATATCTATTGCATGAGTGTCGGTCTTAAACATTTGCTTTAATATAAACATTTTGAAACCAACACAACCAAGTCCGTTGCTTATATCACTCCGGTACTACCGGAGAGCCCTGTTGCCCCGAAATGTGTGCGTACCTTCCCTTAGAACTTTGTACCTCTTTCTATTTTATCTAATTCTCAATGGTGGGAGAACACACAAATTTATTAAATCGCTCTTCCCATTCGCTCCCACTCTTCACTTTCGTTACAGTCTATTTCATTATGTCCGGGAACTAAATATAGGACGGCTACCTCCACACCAAAAAAAAACTTCGAGTGCCTCCCTGCATTGCCTTACAATGTGGCACATGAATACACCTCTATGACTTTTTGCCTTGATTTGTCTTCGTGAGTTGGTAAGTAATCAGCTTAACTTGCTTTAAATTATTTGAGAAATATTTTGATAGTTTTTTGTATGTGTCTTTTTTTCATCTTTTTTATTTATACTATTATTTACAATATGCACACGCAATACAAACCTATTAAATGCAAATTTAAGAAATTAATTACAAAACTTCATTAAAGAGGAAAACATAAAAATACTCAAAAGAAAAGAGTTAATTACATGAATTCTTTGTCATTATGAGAGTTACTCCCACAACTTGTGAACATTATTTAAACATTTTATTGTGAAAATTAATTCTATAAAAGCTGATAATACTAATATTAAAATCCTTATGATGATTACATAAACGAACATGTAACAATATATTATTATCAACGTGTACGTGAAATTAATATTATTTATTTTGAGAAAATTCAATATTATAAAGAAAATATCACATCAAATATTGTAATTATAAGATATTTAAAATCAATGACAACAATAATTATATTGGCATTATAAAGAATTTACCTTGCGGCTCTGTATATATATAATATATCTACAATAAATAACAATTAGAATGCTTTTTATGAAGAATTGAATTTTAAAATATAGGGTTCTGTATACAGTGTGTTGGAGTCTCAACAGTAAACTCCCGAAGAAGGGTGTTCAAACGAATAAAACACCTCTAGTGACATTCTAATTTTTGTGCCCTTTTTCTCGAATTATAAGGGCTCAAAGTTGAAATTTTGGAAAACCGTTTAATTTTTACATTATTATTGATAGCTCAGGAATGTGATAGGTAAAAATAATTTTGTATTTTGAAGTCATTACTGGATATTTGGATAAACAGAGGCTGTTTTTAAAAGAATTATATAATTTGGTCGAATCTTTATATTGCATTTCAGTTTTCGGTATTATATAGTGCATGTAAAAATAACGCTATGAGTAGAATTTTAAGTTCAATTGATTCATGATAATTTTAAAAGATAGGGACACACTGTTCTTAACATCTTAAGGCACTTTTTTTTAATTTAAATTCAATTGAATGAAATTCATTAAAATTTTAACCTTAAGCAAAGTAATATTGAATTAAGAAAATAGTATCAGTTGTCAAAATTCTCATTAATATTTTAATAACATTTTACATGTATTTTATTAATAGCATATAGGTTGGCAGAAAATTTGTATAATTCAACGTACAACAAATTATTGGATTATGTATCGTAATATTGTCCACTACAATTGGAAACTCACTAGGTGCAAGAGAGGCAATTGCAAGTAGCAGTTGGTTGCGTTGTTTATATTGAGGGGGCGTTTGAAAACAGTTTGTGATGTTGAGTTGGCAACACGTTGATGAATTGACCGTATACTGCAGATAGGATTATTAAATCCGCCATAATTGATTACTCTATTGCTCTATGTCTCCGTTGCAAAAGTTTGCTCAAAAGGCGGGGTTCTTTCAGTTATTCTGTCATCTATTATGGTGGATGGGGCCCTGGAGTCGGAATGGGTACTACGCTGCTAATGTACGAATTCTGTAGAGGGGTGGCGAAAAAATTTGTAACTAAATATAAATTCCAGCAAAAACACATTGGAGTAGGAGTAGAGAACAATTGACGGGTACCATTCTGTTTGGTCAGTGTATTACGTACTCTAGAAACGTTAAGTTTCTTGGGGGTAACTTTAGATGATCGTCCCTCCTGGAATACTCATATTGACATGGTCATCGAAAGAGTGGGCTCGTGGACGTGTCGTAGTTTTGTTGGCAAAACATTTGGTTTGCCAGGGCACAGTGGGCGCAGTGGCAGCGATATTGCTGACGAATTTGTTAGAGGGTTCGGAGATCCTTTTTGTTCAGTGAACTTTCAATGTCTGGTATTAGCAGCAGACTTGATGTTCTTCTTGAGCGAAATCAAATCTTCGTTGATAGGCTATTCAGGAATGCCATCAAGCAAAGTTGTTCCTTCTATCTTGTTCAAAGAAGTTTTCTTCAAAGTTGTTGGGGACGATTCGAAATGTGGTATTGCTATTAATGGCTTCTCCACTGGGCATAGTCCAGTGTAATATCTGGACAAACTGTGCAAATAAGATTTCTTTTTGTGCAGATTCTGCCGAGATGTTGAAAAAGAAGCTACACATGCCATATATTTTTTGTGTGATCCTGTTCTAGCTGGTTTAGATGATTTTGGCGGCATTTTTTCAGTGTCGGAGAGCTTGCATTCAACTTTCTGAGGGTTATCTCTAGGTATTTACTTGGGATCCGGATAATATAAGTGGGATATGGAGTACTACCATAAACCATGTCTGGTTTTCGATAGTCGTAGGATGGTATATTTTTTTCGAAGATTTCAATTCTAATATTCTTTTCTAATTCTAATGTTGGTTTTTTGGATTTGTTGCCTTCAAACATTTATAGAAGCACTAATGAACTATATAATGAACTTCATATTATTTTATCTAATTTATTATTTATCTTAATATGGTCACATCAAATGGTCAAATCAATTTTATTTATATAATATATAGTTATTTCAGGTCACCTTGACTTGAGAATTAAAATAAAAAATTATAAACAATTTATAATTTTTTAATATTATGGTATTTTATAAAGAAATCTAAAGAACTAAATTTAGAAAAAAAAAATGTAGGTTGATTTTGTTCTATTTTTCTTGTTATTACACATGATATACATTGACATTGATAAAATAATTTTCATGTTAGGAGCAATAATAATTTCTTCCTTGAACTTTATCTATGAATATACAAATACATGCTCGCATTCAAATTTAATAGTTAAAATTTATGTTAGTATGTACGAAACCTTCATCTATGCATGTACTCGTATGTTGTTACTAAAATTATTATTATCATTATTATTATTTATACTTTAACTTTCATTATATTTTTTTTTTGTTATTCACATGCACATGAAATCATAATTTTTAACTGATAAAAAATGTTAGACTATTAACTTGAAAAATATATGACTTGCATGTTTTATAAAAATCAACGTAAACATCAAAAGTAACAACTTTTTCAAGTGCACAATTTTTTTTCATTTTTTTTTTTATCCTTTATAACTACTATCATTATAGCCATTATTATAACAAGTAAATAGCATTTTATTTTACATAATCTATAGCAATTTTCTATAATAATGAGAGCCACTGTGTATTTTAAAAACAGGGAATGTTGACATACTTTGTATGTACAGCGTAAACACTTATGCATTCGCATATATGTATGTTTACCTATAAGTTATATGTTAAAATGAAAAAAACTAGTTCTTTAACTTAATTTTGTTGCCCCCCCCCCCCCCCCCCCCCCGCTCAATATAACTATAGCAGTAAAATTGTATACGATTTTAAAAAAAATGGATTGCATGATATATGAGTGACTTTCGAGGAAATTGTGTGATATCACAATCAGAAAAAAAGTAATAATAACTTAGTGAATGAAAACTTTTTTTCATTTCCCTTTCATTTATTTTAATGTAATTTTAAAAATATTTTCAAAAATTTTAATTTAAAATTAAATAAAATAAATTGAAAAGCTCACAAAATTATATGTTTTTAGTCTTACAGGTGGAGTTCTACTGATATGATTAGGAGGTATAGCTTTGAGAAAAATACGCTGCTATGTAACAGAAGGGAGTGTGGAAGCGAACACATGGATTGCACAATATGGTAAGTTACTAACTTGACAACTAAACACTTATATTTTAATCATTTGTATTATGCCTCAGAAACGGTTCCAGTTTGTTTGACATCATACATGTTTTTTGAAAATTACGTCTTGCTTACGCTAATACCCCGTTAAAAACAAATGGTACAAGCCCCTTTTTCGGCTTCTATTACAATTGCACACTATGCACATATTTTAAACCCGCCCCTGCTAAGCCTACACCTCGCATACTTAAATATATATATTTACTCTTATTTTACCATACGTCAACGTAATTTGCGTTTATCTCAATTTATTGTACAAAAATTTAATTAAAAATATAAAATTTAAATATAC